TTTTTATCGAAGGTTGAGACCCGGACAATTGAAGAAGTAAAAGAGGTATTACATCATGCATCCCAAACAAAGACTTCTGTGACTCGGATAATGTTGGATAATATGGTTGTACCCCTAGCAAATGGGGATGTAGATGTATCTATGCTTAAAGAAGCTGTAGAATTGATTAATGGCAGGTTTGATACTGAGGTAGGCATTTCAGCTGTCATTTACTTTTCTTCATGGTATTTGATGCGTTTACTACTTCAAACCATAACTATCACAGATGTCTAATCTAATTTTGTGAACTTACTCTACGTTATCTGCATGAAGCTTATCATAATAACTGTTTTGTCATTCCTTGCTGGACTATTGCTAATTTACATTGCCTTTATTTGGCTCTCTTTCTTGGGCTAACTGTTAGTCTATCCATTTCATGTTGTCAGGCATCAGGTAATGTCACTCTTGAAACTGTACACAAGATAGGACAGACCGGGGTCACCTACATTTCTAGGTAAGAAAAGAGGCCACTCTTTTGATGCAAAAGATGTTTTTAAACCTTTTCCTGTGGAGTTTCTTCTGCTATGAGGACCGTTCAGGTGTACTTTAGTTTTCTTGTCTCTTTCCATTTCAGTATCTTGTTTGGGAAAAATATCCAAAACAAAAGATATTTTCGGGCACATATAATGCGGCAATTGATAAAAGTTGTTCTCAAATCTTCAAATCCAATATAGCACCCATACAGATGTAAGAAACGTGCGACTTCCATCAGAGATTATGCTCTTCTTGAAGTTAGCAATGTAATTTGTTGACTTTGTTACCAACTCAAGAGGAAATGCAAACATATTAGAAGTTGAGTGAGAATTAATTTTGTCATAAACTGGTCTCTTGTGGATGTAGTACTGCTGTGAATGTTCTGCTGCCAAGGCAGATTGCATATACCTCTGAGACTTGCAGAAGAGCAGGCCAAAGCCTATGATAACACTGTTGGGTGGCTAGAAATTCTGAAGTTATAAGTTGATAGACAATTACCTGTATCCTTATACATCCTTCATGAGTAGATTAGATTTTTTTTTTTTTTTTAATCTCTACCCTCTATAGATAGGGGAGAGATATAAACAACCTGCGGAATGTGAGTTAGTTGTAATCTATAACCTTCATATTGTGTCTTGTGTTAAAATCTATTTTTAATATAACCAGGATGGTCAGGAGTTGAACTCTTGATGTTTGCCTCTAATATCACAATGAAATGAATAGAGTTGGATGCTCGACTATTCTAAAAATTTCAACCACTAAAAAAGAAAAAAAACCAAGCCTTGTCGTTCGTATTAATATATCGGATAGAAGCAAATGTTCGTCTTACTTTGGTACTATTTGTATGCTTTAGTGCCCCTTTCTTCCCATATTTTTGGCAGAAGTTACATGTTTAATTCCGACATAGTTTTGGAAGGAAAGTTTGTGACCATGCTGTTCTGAGGCTAAGAAAAATTTTATTAGTTGCCCATAATGCACTTAACAGACAGCATGAATCACAGGGATCTTAAACCATGGCCTGTAAAATATTAATTATTGTTTTTCTGTCTCTCCCTGCTGGTTCTGTTTTATCGAAAATTGATATATTCAGACAAAAATATCTGGCATGTTCGTATGTAATATTTGTTAGTTGTTTATTTTTCATAGCTTTTTTCTCAATCCTTTAAATTCCACCATGCACATTCTGATAAGTCATTAACTTGTTATTACTTGCAGTGGTGCATTGACACATTCTGTTAAAGCACTCGACATCTCCCTCAAGATCGACACTGAATTGGCGCTGGAAGTCGGAAGGCGGACAAAACGAGTGTAAATCTATATCCTGTTCTCACTTCATTTTTCGGCCTGGCCGGTAAAGAAAAAAAAGCTTCAGCCGTAATCCCGAGTTATTTCCAGAATGACGAAAAGAGAAGAAAGAGAATAGCTGTTTTGTTCTTCTTATCTGACTTACACTAGAAGCTCTACCATCCTAAACCATTACATCCGGTGGTTGAGATTTTCAAATCATGACCTCTGCATCTTAACTCCTTGCAGGATCGTCACTACCAATTTATTCATCGAAGGTTTCTACTTTTTTCCACCTTAATTTCTTTTATCTGGGGGATTAGATTAAATGCATTAATTTTCCACGAGCGATTAAATTAGTACTTCTTTATGTTTTATGACAGTGTACCCATTTGGACAGAACAAGCTAAACCACCCAAAATGAAATTAAGCTACCATTAATTCAGTTAAACGTCACGAGGAAAAATGAGTAAAATCTTGAAAAGAAAATCTAAAAAGCTGCTGGAAAATTAGAAAAATGGTGCAGAAATTCTTGACGAGAAAGTTAGGCTGATCACGTCTGACAAAGAAATATCACGCTGATGGAAATTTTTTTTTTTTTTTTTCTCTGAAACCACGGCGTATAACTTACACCAGTCCGGAGCATATTTGGTCAAATGTGTATAAATTATGTTAGTTTAAACACTTTATTTATTTAATTCCAGGATTTTATGCATAAAATCCTTGAAT